GAAGAATACATGAGGGGTTTTGGCTGGTGGTACAGCCTACATGATGTGATTTGAGAAATTGAGTGGTTTCCGTCGGATTGACAAGCTGTGCAACAGTTGCTATGCAACCTAGCAACCTGCAGGCTGTGTTCTTTAAGCCGCATGATGTCATCCTGTATTTGAGGCTGTACGCATTGCATGACAGGTTGCCAAGGTAATCTGTATGCTGTGCCTGCATACTTCCATTGTACTTGATTGAGACGTACAGATGCCAGATCACATGGCCCGGAGGGGTGAAATGTGTACCTGATATCCTTGTAACATGTAAGGGTGCTTGACCCCCCTACCTGTGAGTAAAAGAGGGGTGTAACATGCAACACAGGGGGGTTACATGTGTCCAAGCCTGCTCCTCTAGGGTAATTTTGGCCCTGGAATCCCTTCCTGGAGCCATATTTGGTGTAATATTATTGTATATACAAGAAAATATAACATTTTTGAAGTTGTTGGATGGGAACCCATAAAGTATCCCACACCGCTACATCTCGGAAGTTCTTGAAGAATTCAACATGTCAGACTGCCGCCCAATCTCAGCACCTCTACCTCTCAACGCTCTCACCGCTCCCATGGATACGGCACCCGTCAGCCCAAAATTTAACTACAGAAGGGCAGTAGGTTTGTTGAACTACTTGGTTCAGTGCACTCGTCCGGACCTCGCCTTCTCCTGTAGCTTCCTTTCTCAATTCCTCAACAAACCCGGCAAAACTCAAGAAACTCACTTCCTACACATCTGCCGCTATCTCAAATATTCCACCCACATGAATCTAGTCCTTGGGAATGTCAACTCTGACGAACGACTGCTCGGTTTCTCTGACTCAAGCTACGCTAGCGGGGTCAAGGCAGCGTCATTCACCGGCAGCTTGGTTCTCTACCATGGGCCCATTGGGTGGCGTTGTGCCAAGCAGGACGACGACGGCCCGGCCATGTCCACCACCGAGGCTGAGTACCAAGCTTGCTCCGAAACAGGCCGGGATCTCCGCTGGGTCGAACAACTCCTGCAGGACATCACTCCCTTTGCCTCGGTTGACCGCCCTTCCATCCATCTCTACTGTGACAATCAAGGCGCTTTGGCCCTCCTCAAGAATCCCATCTACCAACATAAGACCCGACATATGGACGTACGCCATCACTGGCTTTGCTATCATATAGAAGAAGCCAGTAATTTCACCATTTCGTACGTATCCACAAATGACAACTTATTGGATCTTCTCACCAAACCGCTGTCACCTATCAAAACTCGCCAATTTCTCAAACAACTCCAATTCAGACACTCAGTAAAACTCTAGGCACTGCCTGCCAAGCACGGGGGGCTGTGAAGATGAAGCAAGGCAGCTTAGGCTGCGGACACAGCAAGGGGTTAGTGAGGTGGAAATACTGCGGGGTTCTGTTTATCCTCAACTTAGGGTTCACACCTTGTATATAGTTCACCTTAGTCTCGAGCTTGTATTTCCTTTTCTTTTTCCTCACTCATCTCATTGTCCATTTGTCCGCCCGCACCATCCGCAGGTGCTTGTCTCTTCCTTTAGCCTCGCTGCTCTCTCCCTCTCTTAGTCTTCTCTCGATCTCAGCTCACCGCGCCCTACTGGTCTTTCATAGGTTTGCCTAGCTCTGTTTCTCTCTTCTTTCTTTCTTGTTTCATCTTCTTTTCTCTCTTGTCATGCAATGCACTCATCTCATTGTCCATTTGTCCGCCCGCACCATCCGCAGGTGCTTGTCTCTTCCTTTAGCCTCGCTGCTCTCTCCCTCTCTTAGTCTTCTCTCGATCTCAGCTCACCGCGCCCTACTGGTCTTTCATAGGTGCTTGTCTCTTCCTTTAGCCTCGCTGCTCTCTCCCTCTCTTAGTCTTCTCTCGATCTCAGCTCACCGCGCCCTACTGGTCTTTCAGATTGCAAGAATTTGGTTCAAGAACCTCGGTGTTTTTGTCTTTGTAGAAGACAAGCCTGTATTCCCTCTGGGTCTATTTCTGTAAAGAAAATGGAGCCCTTTTCTTATTTCTTACATTCAATAATAATATTCAGATTCAATCAAAACAGAGAGGAAGTGTTTGATCTAGGGATGTGGATTGAGAATTTTGTTGAACTGTCAGTTTGGGGATTCATTCTCACCCGCTGTGGCGAAGCTGGACATGTGGTACTGTGAGATGGACAAGGTTCAAAACCTAGATCATGTTGCATTGGAATTGGATGTATAAAAGGCTCTCTCATTCTATGATTGTTTTTTTTTCATCCAATTTTTCTAGTCTTTCATTCTCTTGTCTCACTTGCCACTTTTGCAGCTCATGTCTTGCTTGCCACAGATATGTTCCTGATTTCTCATTTCTCATTTCTCTCTCTAGTGTTGGTCTTTTTCTTATCATCATTTCTTCCCAGGTTTGCTTGTCCTAAATCTCAATTTTTAGTGCACTTAGTCTTAGGGCGTGCCCTAACACCCTGTTTTGGAAACCAATAGGTTAGTGTTGAAATTTTTGACTGATGGGCTTTAAGAGGAAGAGGGCCAAGAAGAAGTAAATTCCTTTTTGGGAAGGGTTCACGGAAAAAGAATGAAAGAACTAATGTTTTTCTTTTATTCACAGGCATCTAGTCAAGTTCAAATAGACTAAATACAAGTGGTTGAAAGAGAATTGAATAAAAGATTTTTTTGAATAAAAACTGAGAGGAATAAATATATGAGTTCTTGAAAGAAACAACAAGACAAGCCTTCTCAATCTCTTTTAGTCATGTCAGTAGATTAATCAAGAAAAAATGTAGATTAAACCACAAATATTGAAAGGCGTTAATTCTCAATAATCAGTTTTTAATGAACCAAGTAGTGAACTAGAAAAAGAAACAAACCAATCAACAAGACTAGAGTTGTTTGGTAAAAATTGCCTTGATGAGTTCTAATTAGACTACAAGAGAGCATAAGATTCAACATAAAACTATCTGTGAGTGAATATAATTCATTCCAGGTCAAGATGATTCAAGAAGGAAAAAGAGAGGAAGGAAAAGGAAAGAGGGAGTGGATTTTAGGGAGGAGTAGACCAGAGAAGTGAAAACTCAACAGTTAGAAATGAATTGTCCAATTTTTCTAATCTTTTGTTCTCTTGTATCACTCAACACATTTTCATCTTCTGTCTCCCTTGCCACAGGTTTGTGTGTTCTTTCTTTCATTTTTAGTTCACGTAGGTTGTTCCCTGTGCCCTGGTTTGGAAACCACTAGGTTTGTTTGTTCTCACTCTCATCTTTAGTTCATGTGGGTTGTGACCTAACACCCTGGTTTGGAAACCACTAGTCTTGGGTTCTTTAAATTGTTGCAACCATTTGAAAGCTTGATAGCCTGGATTTCATATAGTAGAAAACTTGAGTAGGTTCAAATTTCATTTTCCCAGTAAGCTTCGTGTATTGGAACCTTATAATTTTGAACCTTATTGATTCAAGTACATCTATTTGAATGACTGTTTTGTATTATGGCAAGATAAATTAAAATTTGCAGGTTGATCAACAATCTTGGGGATCAACAACATTTTTTACTTTGAGTGGGATGGTGGTTTGGGGATAAATCTATAGACCATCTCCACTGCCCACTGCAAGGGATCTCTTCCATTGGAAAATTTCAAAAATTGGAAACTCTGATCAGTTTCAGAACCTCAAACAAAAACTATCCTGTACTAGAGGGAGCTAAATGGTTCTCCCCTATTCACCTTCCCAGATCCATAAAAAATATGACTGGCCCTTACCAGTAATCAAATGGAATGTGGAAAAACCCCTCTTGAAGCTCTTTGGTCATTGGAGGGAGGTTGGAGTGTTATGAATATTCTCTAAAGATTATTTTACATGTTTCCTCATGGTTTGGTTCTTGTTCTAACAGAGACAAGTGAAAACTGAGGGACATTGTCAATGAAAACAATATAGGGTAATTATGAAATAAACTGCATGGTAGGTTGGATTGGATCAGCCATCTAAATGTCAACAGGGCTACAATGGTCAAGCAGCTATAGCATTGGAAAGGCTCCTGTTGGTCTTGATTTCTGATATAGCCCACAAAGTTAACTTTCATTTTTATTTGGTCGGAAGAGCTTGATTTCAATCAAATATCACCATCAAATAAAGCTTAGAATTGAGACTTAGGCAAAATATCAGTTTTTTTATTCACAAACAAAAAAAAGGCCAGTTTGCTTGAAAAGCTTGAAAAAAAAAGAACAGTTACACCTGCCCTTAGGTCTTTACCTGGGAGTGTGCATAGAATACATGAATCAAATATAACAGAACAATTAAACAAGATTATTGAAAGGTATTCAAGAAAGGATGTTCAAACCCACAAAATGTTCAGCAGTAAATGAGTACTAGTACTAATTTATACAATGAGTGACAATTATAAATTGAGTTAACAATATCACAGGGCAAGAAAGTTAGGACCAACTTTGAAGGTTGGTTATCACTTTTTTGAGGCAAGTTGATTATTGGGAGGTCTCATAGGTTTCATTAGATGAACTATTAGTCAGACTAGTGGTTGTTGTATAATCTTCTTCTGTTACCTCACGAGCACCTAACTTTCTTGTATTTCTAGTTGTGGGCTGGGCTATCCTTAGATTATTTTTGAATCGACTGCAAAACATAGTAATCAGTACATGAATAAAAGGAAAGACGGATTCAGGAAGATGCCAGCCAACTCACCTAATAATTTTCATGGTTTTTAAATCGATTGATTTTTTAGACCAAAGAGAGAAATAGAACTTGAGGAGCAATCGATTTTTTCTCAGATTGAGTCGATTACGGAGCTTATGGGATTGGGTCAAATTATACCAAAGCTTAAAACAGTCGATTAAAGTATTCTGCTTTTTCTGTCTTATCAAAAAGAGTAAGCTCGATCTGGCTATCCATAATTGCATTATCTGAGTTTTGGAATTCCTATCTCGCATGAAATTAAAGGTTTGTTCCTGTAGAAAAAAAATGTTCATTCAGCTCTTTCATCAGATTGGAGTGAGATCAAAGTGGGTGATGCCTTACAAGGGGCTCTAACTCCCGCGACCGGATTTTATCCCTCCACTTTTCCCAAACGCACATGATCATCGTCCGATGACGATGATTCAAAAACTCGCCAAGTTTGAAGTTGTGAGCAACCTTGATTCGAGTCCGATCGAGCCAATAAGCTAGTAAGGTCGACTTTTGGGCTGCAACAATTAAGAAGGAGTTAAGTGGGTTAGAACTTGAATGATCAATGTTTGTCAAGAAAGTGGGTTAATCACTTTGATAACGTCGGTGTATAACCAAACTTGATTCGTCAATGAGAACCCTGATCAATTGATGACGGTCGGTCCAAGTGACCCAAAACCTCCTAATTTTCCAATAATGTTTCGCCTACCGGTCAGCCATGCCTGTTTTCACATACGATAATGCTGTAGGAATTTACTGACTGTATAAGATTTCGCTGAGCAAATTCTACGGCTGTTTGTTCATTTCTGATCGTAAGAGTCAATCGAATCCGCCATTGGAAAATCGCATTCATACATTGACGCTGACGCGTTTAGGTCGGGATCAGTCTTTGTCTTCATTGGAGTCTATACAATCAATATTGGACTCACCTCGGCGCTTCTTTGATCGAACGTCCATAAGGATATCGACAATCGCCGTCTTTTGTGAAACAACAGTCTCCATGCTGTAAAATTTATAAGAGTAAGGCATGAGTCATTCTTTCTAATTTTCAACCGGTGATTTAATTGAACCCAGTTTCCTTGATGCCAAAGTATGAGAAAAACTCAACTGGTAAACCGATCGCGTAGATGTGCGAGTGTTTTTTCCTGACGCCATAAATTTACCCTTATCCTCTGTATCCTGCGTTTCCATACGATTAAAACCCTTTTGCGTAAAAAATAGATTCGGGTTGAACTTGCTTCTGTTTGCAGCTGTTGAGTCCTCCAATGACGAAACGTCCAAGCCAAGAAAGATTCACGAATGGCATGTAGTTTATGAAAATGCTGAGCTTGAGCAAAGTGTTGGGTGAGTGTATGATGATACTGGATCCAGTGCTGGAGGTGATGATTGGCAAGGTTGAGTGTCCACTGCACAGTGAATTGATTTTGTAAGCCTGCTCTTAACATTCCGTTATCAGAAGAAAAGATACCCCAAACGTTAATAATTGTCTTGCTTCTCGGTTTTTGTTTTTCTGAAATAGTAACAATGCTGGATTTCTTAATGAATACATGCTAGACATTCACTTACGCGGGAGAATAAGGTGAACGTGTGCCGTGCGCCTCCGCCATCGCTGCAAAAGCATCCTCATCAATCTAGTTTGGACGAGCTTTGCAAATAAACGTCCCCGCCCAGAAATAATCCAATGCCTGAGAACGTGTAACTGAGTATTTGAACTTCGAAATGCCAAGACTGTACTTTCTGAGAACTCCAGCCTCTGTTGATCATAGATGCAAATAAATTAACGGATATACGTCAGAAGAAAAACATGGGATGAATCTTCGGTTATTCCAAAAACGAAAAACACGTACGCGTTGGCGAGCACGAAATTTCCTACACGCCTTCAAAAGTCTATGAAAACTTGATTTGAGTAAAAAGAAGTGGCTCTGGCGAGATTGGATTCTGTGAGGGATTGAAAAGGGGGAATTTAGCGGGTCAATAAAAAACGTCATAGGAGGAAAAACGTGACAAGCTTATCGATCAACGCTTACAGCGAAATTTTCCAATTAACAAAAACTTGATGTTTTACTTGAGAATCCTGACCATGCAGAAAGTTTCTGAGCTTCGACCGCAAGAGAGCCTCTTGAAACCACTGTGACAAGATCCGGTGGAGTTGAATGGAATCGAATTTAGATAATAGATTATCCGCTGCGTGAGATAAATGAGAGAGATATTGCAGTTTTTGATACCAATTGCTTAATGATTGGTAAATCACTCGCCGATCGGAGGAGTTATACATCCTCGTTGATTTCATATAATTAGCCCATATCTTCATGTTGACATTCCCATAATTTGTTGATCGAATCAGTTTGTGAGCATTTCAATCACCATACAGTGCTTTTGAGGATATACAAACATATTTATACAAAAACAAAGGAGACAAACAGACAATTAAGACTTGACGACCCAGGTTCCTTTCCCTCGTTCCTTTGGTTTTTCGATAAGCATTCCTCAAGGCTAGTGATTTCTTCTGGATTGTCCTCGAAACCGTCAGCTTCCTCCATTGATCTAGATGTGAGGATAATAAACTATCGGTAGTCGTAAAAAACATCCGGTCAAAATATCAGCTTGAGTGCCTTACAAAAAAAATGAAAAAACAGATGTGTAGATATCCTAACCGAGTATTATAGGATGTATCCACTAATTTCAATTTGTTCTCTCGATTACGGAATTTTCGCGTCCAAGTTTGATGTGCAGTATTGATGTCGAGGACACGTCGAGCGGATTGAGCCTCTGAATTCAGCGTATTCCAATAAATTATCGAATTCATCCATTTATTCATACAACGAGCCAGTAGTTGTTCTCGTCTGAATTTCCTAGCTTTCACATCAATGGGATCGATCAGAAGGGTCATTTTTGACTGGATAATCTCGGACTGAAGTTCAACGGGCAATGAAAGATCTCTTGCTGCTGGCGGTTCTTTGATTTGATTGTGATCATTCTCTTCAGCTTTCGAGGGCAGAAAGTGGACCGATTTTGGAGGGCGGGACTTTGAGTGGGCAGCTGTCTGATGAGTAGCTGGTTTCACGTTGCTGTTGATGGCCTTCCACTTTTCTTTATCCTGTGTGCCGCTATAGACTGTTTGTTTTATTCTTCTTGGATCATGGGCAGTTGGATGAACTTGAGTAGCAGTAGGTACGATTGCTTGCTTTGGAGGTAAGCCTGAAGATATGGCTTGATCTGATAAAACCCTCGCCCATTTTTGCTTCCAATCGCTACCAGGTACCAAACTGAGTTTGAGTAAAAATGTGTAATATTTGTCATCTATCTTGGGATCGATCCGATAGCGTCTCAAAGTGTTTTCGTACGGAGACAATAGGGCATTGAAGGCGTTCGTATTTGGTGGTGTGAGTTTGATAATCTGAGACAGAATCTCCCTCTCCTCCTGATTCAAGGGTGGAAAGAGTGGGGCTGCTGGACCGGTGGCTATTGATAATATCTCATGGTTAAATGCTTGCATTTCCCCTTTGTTAAACACGTTCTTTCTTGCGAGGATTTCGGATGTTACTGGAGCCGGAGAACAAAACGAAGGCGATGGATATGATTTGACGGCGTCTTCATCAATTCGAATCTCGGATGTGGGAGTGGCTATCGAGTTCGGGTCGATCGTTCCGATTATCTGTTCCAGCTGATGAAGATGTTGTGGTTCGGATTGAATCAACGGAGGTGGTGCATCCTGTCGGTCTCTTCGTGTATTTGGGGAACTCCGACGCGTTCAATGGACTGAGTTAAGGAACTCAGATCTCGTCGCGTCCCAAGACACGCGCATATAAAGAGCTGAATGTACTCAGGACGTCCAAAGGCCGCCCCGCAGCACATACACAGGCGAGCAAAGTACGCTGAGATGATGCATGACAGGGCTCATAAAATTGCCAGCAAAGTGTTGAAGGTTTGGAGGGAGTGGTCAAACTTGACTTGTTATACTAATGAACATGCACATCCAGAAAGTCTTCTGGAAAATCAACCTCTCTTGACCATCTTCCTATCTCAAACCACCTACAAATCAACCCCTCCTGAGCATCTTGAGAAAACTACAAATTTTTATGGCTGGAATCAAAATTTCAAATGGCAAAGCCAGCCTAAAAAACAACAGAGTTGAGAATATGATAAGAAAAATTTGAGAACAATGAACCAAAGAAGAGACAAGATTTACCACAACATCAAATTAGATGATCTAGCAAGACATGAACTGAAGTGAAGAAGAAAGGGAAAAAACCTGGTGAGGACTAAGAGCAACTCCACCGCGGCCCCTAGTTTTGGGCCGTTAGAATTTGATCGTTGGGACTGCGCAGCCAACTTTACAGCCTTGAAGTGCTGTGGCATGCACTGCAAGAGTCTTCAAAAATACGTGAAAGAGTGGTGTGAAGTTGGAACCAATTCAGATTGAGGTGGAGGAGTAGAGTTTCACAAGCTGGTTGTTGTGTGAAAGGGGACTGGGCAGTCAATAGAGGAGTCGCTAGGAGTCCCTACATGTAGGGACTTGGGCTTGAAATTTAGGGACGGCCGACGTAGATTTGAGACACAAATAGCGGCCGCAGTGGCTCATGTTGAGTCTGTAAATTCCAACTAGCAACCCTATTTACCGCCCGTGGTGGAGTTGCTCTAAGGGCCTTTACTGTAGGGCACGAAAATTCAATGTATCAGAATGTATCTTCCTCAAATTTTCATATCATCAAAAGTGACCATTGCCAACAGCCAGTTTTTGGCCTAGAGGTGAATTTCAACAACAGATCTTTCTGCTTGCTCTCATTTTTTGTGTAGAAGACAGAAATCATGACAAGTTTTCAGCATTGAGTCCCACAGTACATGACCTAAGAGAGGATGAGCAAAATAAAATGGGATTAGCTAATAATAGAATCTCAGTGGTTAATTTTAGGGGCTTGGAAAAACGACTCCCAAAAATTAGTTGACGACTCCCAAGGACTGTCAGCGGACGTCCATTGGGAGTTGTCAACTAATCTGGGGGTTGCTTTTGGGAGTTTTCCCCCCCATTTTATTTTTACTTTTTTTGTTATTTTTTATATTATTTTTTGGGAGTCGGCTCCCCAAACCACCCCTCATGCATGGGGGGTTTGGGAGTCGTTCCCTCCTGACCGGCACCTCATATCAATTGGAAGGGATCCCTTCCAATCAATCAGGCATTTGCACCCTCATTGACTGGAAGGGATTCATACCAGTCAATGAGACCCTTGCACCTCATCAATTGGAAGGGATCCCTTCCAATCAATGAGATCTTCTCACCTCATCAATTGGAAGGGATCCCTTCCAATCAATGAGATCTTTTCACCTCATCAATTGGAAGGGATTCATCCCAGTCAATGAGACCCTTGCACCTCATCAATTGGAAGGGATCCCTTCCAATCAATGAGATCTTTTCACCTCATCAATTGGAAGGGATCCCTTCCATTCAATGAGATCTTTTCACCTCATCAATTGGAAGGGATCCCTTCCAATCAATGAGATCTTTTCACCTCATCAATTGGAAGGGATCCCTTCCAATCAATGAGATCTTTTCACCTCATCAATTGGAAGGGATCCCTTCCAATCGATGTGGTCTTTTTGTAATTACAAAAGCTGGGTCGAATGAATAAAAAGAAAGATGCAGAGGACAGGTGGGGAGATGGAATGTGGTAAGCAAGGGCAGGAATACCAAACAAAAGAATGTTCATCACTAGAGATCCCCATGGACAATCAATTGGAGCTTTCCTCAATCTCTTTTCCTTGCTGCCGTCACTTTTCTTAACAATTGATCTGAGCCCCTTGGCCCTTGAAGCACACTACTGATGATGCCATGTGCAGAGGAAGAGGGAGCTCCGGGGTAAGCCCACAATGAACTTGAGGAGCAAATCCCGACTTGAAAAGCAGTCAACTGTTGAACCCTCCAAGGGAAACCACCACCGCCACATTGTCCTTTTTGACCGTCAGTCAACCTTCCTCCGGCTTGCTGGTTGTTTACATTCATTTTTTTCATGGAAAAGACCTCATTGACTGGAAGGGATCCCTTCCAATTTATGAGGGGAAAAGATCTCATCTATTGGAAGGGATCCCTTCCAATCGACGAGGTGAAAAGATCTCATCAATTGGAAGGGATCCCTTCCAATTGACAAGGTGAAAAGATCTCATCAATTGGAAGGGACCCCTTCCAATCGATGAGGTGCAAGGGTCTCATTGACTGGAAGGAATCCCTTCTGGTCAAGGAGGGTGAAAATACCTGATCAATTGGAAGGGATCCCTTCCAATTTATATGAGGTGCCGGTCAGGAGGGAACAACTCCCAAACCCCCCATGCATGAGGGGTGGTTTGGGGAGCCAACTCCCAAAAAATAAAAATAAAAACATAAGGGGGGGGGGACGACTCCCAAAAGTGAACCCCAGATTAGTCCACGACTCCCAATGGACGTCCACTGACGGTCCTTGGGAGTCGTCAACTAATTTTTGGGAGTTGTTTTTCCAAGACCCTGATTTTATGACCATCTTGAGAGCAGACAAGGCCATGGATTTTGAGAAGGACTGAATGAGAAGGCTGATGAGTTTGCCAAACAAGTTCAAGGGTTGAATTGAGGGATAACAGCAAGGTTGGCATAATGGATTTGATATTAGGATGTCAATGGCTTAAGTTTAGGTTGGAAAACAGTGCCAGAAACCAAAACTGGGTAAAAGGTGGATCAGGTCAAT